TTCAAGAAGGCTAGTTTGGTTCTACACAGCTTGCCCAGTTTTCAGTCCAGAGTCACTGATCTTCCACCAGTTGGGCCAGCTGATTCTGTGGGTTTCCCCATCATGGTCTTGACCCCTTTGTTCATATTATCACTTCTCCCTCTCTTTCTTCACATGAAACATGGCCCAGTGGTTAGTTGTAGATCTCTGTAACACTTCCATCTGTTTCTGGAAGCGGGTTCTAGCTTCTCTGGGTTGTGGACTGTTGGCTGGTTATCCTTTGCTTTACGTCTGGCATCCACTTATGAGTGAGTACGTACTATATTTGTCTTTCTGGGTCTGGGGTTTCCCCACTCAAGATGTCTTTTTCTAGTTCTGCCCATTTGCCTGCAAGTTTAAAGATGTCATTGTTCTTTTTTTTAACCACTGTGTAATACTCCATCGTGTAAATGTACCACATTTTCTTTATACTTTCTTTGGTTGAGGTACATCTAAGTTATTTCCAGGTTCTTGCCATTATGAATAATGTTGCTATGAACCTAGTTGAGCAAATGTCCTTGTGGTATGATTGAGCATCCTTAGGGCATATGCCCAAGAATCGTATTACTGGGTCTTAAAGGTAGCTTGAGTCCTAATTTTCTGAGAAACTGTCATACTGATTTCCAAATGGCTGTACAAGTTTGTATTCCCACCAGCAATAGAGGAGTGTTCCCCTTACTCCATATCCTCTCCAACATAAGCTTTCATCAGTGTTTTTGACCTTAGACATTCTGATTGGTGTAAGACGGTATCTCAGAATTGTTTTCATTTGCATTTCCCTGTTGGCTAAGGACATTAAGCATTTTTATGTGTCTTTCTTCCATTTGAGATTCTTCTGTTGTGATTTCCTGTTTAGATTTTTTTTTTTTTTTTTTTTTTTTGGTTTTTCGAGACAGGGTTTCTCTGTGGTTTTGAAGCCTATCCTGGAACTAGCTCTGTAGACCAGGCTGGTCTTGGATTAATTGATAATTTGATGCCTACTTTCTTGAGTTCTTTGTGTATTTTGAAGATCACCCTTCTGTCAGATGTGGAGTTGTTGAAGATGTTTTCCCATTCTGTAAGGAGCTGTTTTGTCTTGTTGACTCTGTCCTTTGCTTTACAGAAGCTTCTCCATTCAGGAGGTCCCATTTATTAATTGTACTTTCAATAAAAGATTTTATGCAGCCTTGTAATGAATGTCCTTCTCTTTCTTAAAAGTTTGCTGTCTACTTGTTAAGCATAAAGTACTATAATGTCAGCATCTTATAAAGTGCTTATACTGTGTGTCTTCCATACAGATCACTTTTTAATTTTGTGTGCATGATGTCTGTGGTTATACAACATGTGTACATGTATGTGAGTATGGGCCCACAGGTGTCATGGTATGCACTTAGAGGTCAGAAAACAACCTTGAGTGTTGGTCCCCTCCTTTCCCATTGTTTGAGATGGAGTGTCTCTGTTATTCACCCCTGAGTATGTCTGGTTAGCTGACCAAATGTTCCAGAGGTTCTCCTGTTTTTCTAACTCACAAGAGCAGCTCTGGGGTTATAGATGCCAGCTATCCCATCCAGCTCCCATTGGCCTCTGAGGATTCAAACTTAGGTCTTCAAGCTCCTGAGGCCAGTGCTTTACCCACTGAAATATTTCCCCAGCCAGATGCATTCTTTTTTGTGTGTATGCATGTCATATTGTGTACTGCAAACTTTTCCTCTATGCTGTGATAGATAGCATGCAAACTTTTATGGACAGAAATTGATCCAATTCCTTATGATTGGCAGACATATGTTAATAAATAAGGGATACGACTAGCCCTGGGGGACTAAAAACTTTCCTGAACCATAAACAAAACGAAAGAACATACTGAAATGTATAATTCACATTAAAAAATAAACTGTTTACTGAAATCCACATTCATCTTACATGAAAAAGTTTTCCCTTAAATGCCAAAACTCTTTCAAGACAGAATAAGCTTTCCAGCTATGAAAAATCCAATTAAAATGAATTTATATCATAAAATCAACACTTGGGGACTAATTAGGTATTACTAAATCCTGTGTTATTGATTACTTAGAAAAAACTACCTTTTTTATATGTATTACCTAATATAGTTCTCTATTTCTGAATTTGCCCCAGATCCTGATAACACATGGTTTATCCCATGACTAATCTTATTCATTAACTACATCTATGTCAGAAATATCAGAAAGTCATCAGTTGTCCAAGGTAAATTATTTTCCATAGTTTCTTCTAAAAGTGTACCACCAACTTTAATAACTTAGATTAAAATTAACGAGTAGTTGGGAAGAAAGTAGATTTTCCAGAGAAAAAATGAGAATTTTTCACTATGAGGATTCAGTACACAGCTGTCAGCCATTTTCAAAATGTAGCACAACTTTTCGCCCCTGGTGTGATACCAAATGAATGTTTGGTTTTGTTTTGACTGGAGAGTACTTGTTAAATTTAATCGTAGAAAAGACTGGTGTTTCGATTTCCACTATTAATTACTTCCTGTGGCAACGCTGTTCTGAATCTCAGAACAACAGGGGCTGTTCATTTTTCAAACTGGATATGAGGGTGAGGAAAATGTGTGAAGGAGCCGTGATGTGGTAGAGAGACCCCATCGCCAAATGCAAGAGTGGCCTCCTTCAGAGCAGAGGACATCAACATGACATACGCAATGTCTAGGTGTCAGCTGCCCTGCTCTACTTAGACCCACGGACACACTGAAACCTGTATCTTTCAAAAACAAAAAAATAGGAGGAGGAAAGGGGGGCAGTGTTGGGCATTTTCTCACAAGAGCCCAGGAGAATGAGTGACACCGTCCACATAAGCAGCATCAATGGTCAGAGAGCAGATCCAGGGGTGCCACACAATGGAAGGACCTGAGCCATAAACAACCTGTGTAAAGTCACATTGAGACTATGGAGAGAGAGATGGTACGCGATGTCTCTGCCCTGCGCTTCAACCTCAAGTTAACATCACATAGCCTCTGAGAACGTCCTTTGGCATCCTTCCCCTGGTTTGAATCCCATCATGGATGACTGGTTTACAGACATTGGTATCTGATGAATGACTAAGGCTGATTTCCTGTTTTATGTTTTGTCCCTCAAGAAGGGGTTTCCCTCCACATTCTGCAATAAGACCCAAACTGAAAGCATTTTGTATTTTTGCACTGCAATTCTCTGTTTTGTCAGAGAGTAATTATAGCAAATAAAATATTACAGCTGAATGTAAATTGTTAGGCAACCAGATCACACCAGAAGATTTTTTCTTCCACAAGTTTTTCATCATAGCATCTTAAATATTAAAATATGACAAGGCAAATAAACAGAGCAAGTTCTTTGCTCAAAGCATTAATTTTAAACGAACATTTCAGTGTTATTCTGATCGGGTCTAGGAAACAAATGATGTTTTCTCTCAAACAAAATGAATATGTCACCTGGGAAGAATGTAGTCAGGAAACCACACACACTTAAGACATTAAAGACAAGTGTCAAACAGAATGGGTGGTAAGTCCTGTGTAGGAGAGTGAGGAAGAGGGGAAATAAACAATAGAGGCTTTTATTGCTAAAAAGAAAAATATAGGAAGATACCTTTCAGATTGCAGATTGTGCTTGTCTTTCCAATGTTTAAAAAAAAATTACTAAGATGCCTGCCCCACCCAACTCAATTACTGAAAGAAAAGAAAAATCAAAAGGTAAGTTTCTGATTTTACCCAAGGAGTAAGCGCAGGTCTCTCTTTCCATAAAGATTATATTCTTCCTTTTACAAAGACGGTGGAATCATCTGAAGAAGGCATTCCACGTTCCTTTACTGTAGGTCACAATCAAACACCAGCCAATTAAAACATACAAGAACCAGAAAAGAACTCTGGGAAATGGCTTTCACAAGGGAGATGCTCCCAATGTGATTAAATATAAGGTGATGGTAAGGTAATGAAACACAAGCCTTATTGCTGTTTTGTTTAAAAAAAAATTCTTTAGGAGAAGAAATCAAATTTGATGGAAAAGCATGTTCTTTGAACCAGCATGGAGTTACACACGGGAGGTAAAGACATCAGGCACCATGAGAGCATTAGAGGAGGGATTGGAAGGGAGAAACGTTAAATGACGCAGATGTAAATGGTCTGAAGTGAAACCTCTTTTCTCAGTGAGAGAAGATACAAGAGAAATTGGAAAAGGAAAGAAAAGAAACAGAGACCACGCAAACGCCTGAGAAAGGAATGGTACTGAAAAACATAAGGAAATTGTGCATGCTACGGAGTGGAGGCACAGATATCTCAGCACACACGCGTGTGTGTGAAGAAGAAATGGCAAAGGATAAAGTGCTCCATTGTGGATCTGCACTGAGCCTGGCATCATGGATCTGGAGGGAACTTTAAGTCCTTGTGAACTATGGGAACTAACTACAGTGCCATTGCTGCAGAGCAAGGATGTTGCCACAGGTACTGCTTAGCAGAACCAACGGTGGGATAGCATGGATCATTTTGACAGTTACTAGATAAGCCTGAATACAGTTAAAAAGGAGAAATTTTAGCACTTAAGGAAACGGATATACCCCAGATTCATAATTATGCCACTTTATTTTTTTTTATTTATTTTTTTTTGCCAAAAACCAGATTTGGTTTAATATTGCAACAATAGAAAACAAACCCAAGCACTACACACTAACAAACATACTACAACCCAGGAAAGGGGACACGCAGAGGCTACAGTAATAAGCTAAATCTTTACAGGGGACCACAGAACTGCCTATGACCCCGTTGTGGCGGTGGCAGTAGAAGCAAGTACTTATATCTGGAGATGCCAGTTCCCACCCCAGCAAAACCTTATTTTCACACAACAGTAAAAGGCATAGTCACTTAAGAGTATGCAGTCCTCACAAGGAAAAGGTGGACCTGCTGCGTTTTGGTGGCTTCACTGGCTCTTTTTCCAAGCTGCTAGTATAGTACTACAGCAACAAATAACAAACAAAGCCTCATGGCTTCTGGCTGATCCGGCACCTTCAAGGACACAGGTGTGAATTCCCATCAGTCTCAGTCTTGGCTGCAGTTCGTATCTCACTCCAAGGAGTAGGTAATGACAGCAGCCACTCACACCTGAGATTCCCTTTATCCTTGGAGGCTCTTATTGAGGATCCTGTTCTTGTGAACACACATGGGGCACAGCATGTTATCCTCCAGGTGTGGGGGTGGAAAGGTGCAGGCTGGCAGCAGGAAGAGGGCAATCACTTTCCCCTTCTTCTCAGGTACCCAGGCTTGTCCAGCGTGGAACTGAAGCCGAACCCAACCTCTTGAGTCTGCTGGAAGGCTTCTCCCATGGACCACACACCATAGATCCCCGTTTGTCTCGGGTGTTGTAATGGACTGCAGGGCCTCGTTCTTGTTAGCATTGGCTGCAATCCTCGACCAAGACGCCAACACTGCCTCAGAGGCGGTTGTGGTCACAACCGTTGTGCTGACCTCTTCATAGAGGACAGGAGGTTCAGTAAGGGCGGGCATCTGCTCCTCTGGTACAGGGACCACTTCAAGAGGCACTATCACCTGAGGACAAGTCTCTTGTCCCTCCTCCGTCTCCGTCTTCAATTTTTTCCTACGCATCTTCACCCTGGCCTCTCTCGGTGTGTCAGGAATGTTCTCTAATTCAGTCATTTGTTTGGGGTAAGAACTTGCAAGGAGTCATTTGTAAGTCTCTAATTTCTGGCCTTTGCTGCTCAGCTTCTGCTTCTTGCACCATTCTCACAAAATGTCTCGGTGAATCAGGTTCACTGGGGGCAGATAATCCGGTAGAGGAGGAACTGCTATTATTTTCCTAGGAGTGGGTTTTGGAGTCTCAGCATCTCCTGCTTTCTTGTTTGATTTACATTCGTCCTCTTTTGCTGTCTTGTTTGCTCTTTTTTTCTTTGCAGGGGGCTTTGCAAAGGATGTGCTCGGTTGACTAGACATCAGGCAGTCCACTTCTCTTGGCTCTCCTGTGCTGCTCAACTCCTTGTTTCCAGCATCCTCCATCTTCGAATTAGATGAAACCGCCACAAGAAAAACAATTATGCCACTTTAGATTTCAAGCATTAAAAAAAAAAAAATTCTTTTGGGTAAGGCAAGCAAGAACACAGACTTAACCCATATCTCATCAGGGCATCTATCTATTCTCCTTCAGACCAACATTAAAGGACAGAAACACAGTAACTGAAACCGAACAAAATCCACGCAGCAGACAAGCCCTTCAAATGGTTGATAAAGCCATTGAGAGCGAGGTTAGGAAGTGAAATTTGGGAAGGTGCTATTTTTGTCTTCCATGGTTGTCAGAAGGTGTTCGGAAATCTAATTCAGACATTGAGAGTAACGTTGTTAGCTCAAAGTTTATTGCACGGAACTGTATGCTCCAGCTTCAGCAGTGATGGATGCAAACAACACATCTGGTGTGCCCCACCCCCACTACTGCTTCTCTTCCGTATGCTTAAATAATATGCAGAACAGTCATTTGCTTGCAACTCCTCACCATAACTCCTGGATTCTGACCCAGGTTGAAACAACCGCTATATCATAAAACCTCTTGTGTTAGTCTCTGTTCTAGTTGCTGTGATAAAATACGCTGGCAAAAGCAATATAAGGGAGAAAGTGTTTAGGGGAGAAAGGTCTTATAGTTCACAGTACAGATCGTCATGATTGGGGAAGTCGTGGAAGTCAAGGCAGTAGGAGCTTGACAAAGGTCTGCCCATGGTGTCTACAACCTGGAAGCAGAAATTGATGGCTGCATGCTGCCACTCAGCTCCCTTTCTCCATTTCCACAGTTCAGGGTCCACTCAGAGCGGGTAGTTCTTCCCTGCCTGGCTTACTTAATCAACGTACTCCTTCACGGGCGTGCTCATAGGCCCCTGTTGGAGGTAATAATAGACTCTGTCAGGTTTACAATGAACACTGGCCATCACACTCCTGAGATGACGGACGATAGAAGTGCATCCCTGAGCTGTCTGTGTTACAGAGTTCCAACCTCCCAAAGAAAGCATAAGATAAAGCAAACCCTCAGCTCCAGGATAAAGGGACCACATGAACATGAGCTGTACACTCCACGTCTACCAAATAACCCCACTTCAGTCTGTATCTGTTTCTTCTCCTTTGATATTTTCACAAATAGTTTCCAGTTATCTTGAATGCTGATTGTGGTGGGCATATCCCAAGTATTATACCACTTTCTTTTCCTCAAGAAAAAGCCATTGCACGGGAAGAAGCTGACTCTTGGAGATACAAGTCTTGACACACTCACAATAGACTCTAGCGAGTGCCAGTGGTGGGATTCCAGCACAAACCCAGCAGGGTTACACTACAGCACAAGGTACTAAATCCTGGTGAAGGACTCTGGTGTTGTTCTGAGATTGTTCTGCAACATGTATCGGGCAGAGAGTGATCAACTTGAAGAATTCCTAAGCTCAAATATGAAGCTAAAATGTGTCCATGAGACCATGTAAGATACACGTGATCTCAGTTTAAAGCTAAGAGTAAAAAACAAGCTATTGATTAATGCCTGCTCTTCTCTTTTATCATTTTTTTTTTGTAATTAGAACAAATTTCCAATGATATTCAAGAACCTGCCATTTTCAGGTTACCCCAGTGTTTTTGATTTTCTTTTTTTTTTCCTTTGGCTTTTTTGGGTATGGGGGGGGGGTGTTGTTGTTTCTAAAGAAAACTCGTGTTTTAATACAGCCTAATTCTATTTTCATTATTTACTTATTCATGCACTAGAGTGCTTTATCATTATCTCCATATACACATCCCACTTTCATGTTCAGGGTCTATATTTCAGACGTGTAAGCGAGGCAGTGGTCAGTTAAATCTCACCTAACCGGAGAAAGTAAACCATCTACCGCTTTATCTGATTTCCTCCTCACGTGAGGTACAGTGTAAATGGCTTGTGAGTCCCATTTGTCTAGAGAACTCCCAGGTGCTCTCTGGCTTATCACATCTCGCCGTATCAATTGCCTTTGTTGTTTGGTGGGTATTGATCTGAGAGGACCTTGTATCTTGCCAAAGTCACTTGTGCAGCGGCTCTTCTCTTTTTCCTCTGAGTGGACATGAAGGTTCTAGTGTTAGGGGCTTTGGGAATCTCTACCCGACAGCCCCGCTCCATCATTAGAGACGCAGTGAAAGCTTGTTATCCAGATAGATGTCCCAATTAGCAGTCCATCCCGCTCGTCCCCCACAGTGGCAGCGGGCTCACGGCGAGACTTGGAGGGGCAGTGACTGATGCAGGGAACGCTCCACAGAGCTGCAAATTTACTTTTATTTGTTTTACTTTCACCTCTTCATTTGTTCATTCGACAGAGCACTTATCGACGGTTTCAATGGCGAGTTCCGAGCTTTAAAAGCTCCTTGCTTTCCTGAAGAAGTAGAAAATTGTTTCTCATTTTTCTAAACAGCATCGTGTAACTGATCCTAACTTGGCACTATAGTACCCAGAATTAAGCTGGAAGCTCTGAGATCAGGAAAGGATTTAAAAATTGCCCAAACAGAGGATTCCGGATGGTATGGCGGTGTGCGTGACTGTGTAAGTCCAGAGGGTCCCATGACCAGGGTCATGGCATAGATGGTATGGAAAGCAGTAGAAACCCCACACTCGTGGGAATTAGCAGTGTGCCCTTGGCTCAGAGCACTCTGTAATCCCAGAGGCACAAGCTACTCAGGTCTCCAATTATTATCATCATACATTCCCGCAATAAGTAGTTAACCCATGGCTCAAACACACCAGGCAAGCACTAACCCCAGTCCCAACATCTTATCAAGAATCTGATTTTATTTTATTTCCTATTATATGCATATATACAATTCTATTAATTCTTAGAGAATTTTATACAACATATTTCAATCCTATCCTCCTCCAATTGCCTTCACCTTATGTCTTTTCTTAGAAGACAGAGTATCTCACAGCATCTGGCCCAGTTCTCTGGCTCTTACACTTTTCCTGATTTCATTTCTTCCTTTACTGTCACAGTGCTCGGGTTCACACCTAAAGTTTTAAGTTCCCAGGACAGGCATCCTATCACTGAGTTGTAGCCCCAGCGGGGGGGTGGGGGTGGGGAGAAAGAGAGAGAGAGAGAGAGAGACAGAGAGAGAGAGACAGAGAGAGAGACTAAGAAAGACACAGAGAGATTTAATCTGATTTTACAATACATTTATATTTCACAATTAAGTTGTCAAATGTGAGGCTGCCAAGGAAGAATATTTAATGAAAAAATAATTTTCTATACCTGATTTTTAATTAAGAATCAACAAAAACCCAAGGGGAATGACTGATTAATAAAATAGTTATTCTCTGAATGAAACAGAAAGTCTTGAGAATCTCAGCTTGACGAGGAGGTTAATATGCATACAATATAAGTCTTAGGATGTTTGTCGCCACACTGCTTCTAAGTTACTGAAACGTATGTAGAGTTAAGTAAAGCATGGTTCTTTTATATGAGAGTCCATGAAGTCACTCAGAAGAGAGGACTCTTCACAGGGGGACAGAATGCCAAAGCATACCCATAATGCAACACAGGAACCCCAGGTGACACTGTGCACACAGGTGTGTTGACACGGAACCAGACACGGAGGAAGGAAGAGATGCCATCTTCTAACCTGGCAACCTCTGGAGGCTGAAGAGCAATCGGAGCAATTTACTGCTTTATATGGTGAAATATGAGTTACAGTTTTTTTTTTGTTTTGTTTTTTTGGTTTTTTTTTTTGATTTTCGAGACAGGGTTTCTCTGTAGCTTTTTTGGTTCCTGTCCTGGAACTAGCTCTTGTAGACCAGGCTGGCCTCGAACTCACAGAGATCCGCCTGCCTCTGCCTCCCGAGTGCTGGGATTAAAGGCGTGCGCCACCACCACCCGGCTTCAGTTTTTTTTTTTTTTAAGTGACAAGAAATATTTGTGCATTGACCATGTTATAGAAAACATACATCAGCAAGGACCAACAGCACACAACTTCAAAGGTTGGTATGGACGCTTTAGTCTCCACTTGTTCTGATTCATAACAAATTGTCTAAACACAAAATTACTTACATAACCTCTCTACTTCCACTACATAATATGATCACAGACATCTAAGGAGCACACACACTACATTAAACATCACTCGGGTCCTGTGATCCAGCAAAGGGTCAGGGAACTACTGTGTCCATACAGAGCATCAGTTCAAGAGAGTACACAAAGCATATATTTAGGGAGACTTTTAGATTAAACATTATTTTTGTATTAAATAATTCGGTTAACGCTAACCCTCTGGATCTGGTGGCTCAGGGAGAGACTCGCTGCGGTTCCAGAGACGTTCCTTCTCAAGGAGACATCTGTTCTGTGGATCACATCTTCTGCCTATCAAATATTTATCCAGTGCACCCATCCCTCGGCTTAGGCTTGCTCAAAGAGATCCCATAAAATAATAATGCTTTACATTCATAGAGGGGTTTCCACCTTCCGGAGCTCTTCCGAATACGCAGCATCCCGGGAGATGGGTGATTATTATGCAGGAGCGGGATAATAAAAATTTAACAGTTGAGAATCTTCTGTCTGCACACTTTCCTCATGTGTGCCTTTGTGCCTCTCGGCTGTGACTGTCCCAGAGTGAAGCAATGTGGAGTATAAAATAGAAACCGGGTTTCAGAAAGCACCATGGGAAAGAATTGTCTTACTGCAGTTTTAATTACTTGAATGTTGAAATAATCCTATTTTTAATATACTGATTTTAAAAGTATGTCATGAAGATCTATTTCATCTGTCTTTTATTTATTATACTTACTATTAGAAATTAATGTCGCATGTGTAGTTGACACAGTGTGTCCATTGGGCAGTAAAAATGACTTGGTGGTGGCTTTTCTCTTCTTTCTTGATGACATGACTTCTCCTCTGCTGAGGTGTGCCTTTGTTCCTTTTCACCTACATGACTTTTGCTCCACATTCTAGACCGCTGATCTGCTTCCAAGAGCAATGTAAGCAGCCCTCTAGGGTGAGACCTGGCCAGTGCTTATCTGTTTACCA